AATTCTGGGAGTTGAAGTCCACTCATCTTAAAGTGGCCAAGTTTGGACAACACTGTTATAGCCTATCTGTAGAGAGTAAGGAAGATGACCTTGACAGAGATATACGGGAGCTGTTGCCTAGGCAAAAGGGGCTGAAACATTTTTAAGTCCAGGACAGTGAGAAAATGTTTGGAGGTGGCTGAAGCAGATGTCTCCCTAATTCACTGAGCTAGAAGGAGGAGGAGGAGGTACAGCACAATCAGAGCTGCAAGATTCTGTTTTTATAGCTAATCTCAATAACAGCAGTGGAGGGGATTTCCTGGTCTGGTCCATCTAGTGGGGCTGACAAAAATATACAGTGAAGCTTTCAACATTTTGTTACTGTAGTCTTTGGTCTAAAGCATATCTTTCCAGTCCAACTTGTGGAGTCTGTTTCCTGACCTGGCCTACCTCAAAGGGCTAGCAGGATGATACCAGAGGGTGTCAATACCGGGGCTTCATTGAAGAGTTGTTTGTAGAATGGCCTTGAGGGACAAGAGGAAAAGCTGCTGCCAAGACAACAGTCAGATAAAAGAGGCCTGAGTGCGGGGCAGGAATGTAACGTGAGTACAGGTGATCCTTGGTTAACAACCGCTCGTTCAGCAACTGTTCAAACTTATGGTGGCACTGAATGAGTGGTACTTACGACCAGTCCTCGAAGCTCAGTCTGTCGCAATGCTCCCGCAGTCACGTGATCACAATCTGGGTGCTTGGCAACCGGCCTGGATTTCCAACCGTTGCAGCATCCTGCAGTCACTTGATTGTGATTTGTGACCCTGCCAGATTTCCACAAGCAAAGTCAATGGGGAACCTGGCAGGAAGTCAGAAGTCTCAGTCACTTGAGTCCTTGCTTAACAACCTGTGGTGATTTGCTTAACGACAGTAACTGGAGACTGCCAACATTGCTGTTGTTAAGCAGCACAGTCATATGACATCATGCTTTACAACCACACCACTTAGCAGAGGAAATTCCAGTCCCTATCTATCTGTCTGTCTGTCTGTCTGTCTGTCTGTCTGTCTGTCTGTCTATCTATCTATCTATCTATCTATC